GGTATAGAAGAAAAGTACCTCAACATAATAAAGGTCATATATGACAAACCCACAGCTAACATCATATTCAATGGTGAAAAACTGAAAACTATCCCATCAAGAACAGGAAGAAAACAAGGACGCCCACTCTCACTACTCTTACTCCATATAGTACTGGAAGTTTTGGCCAGAGCAATTAGGCCAGAAAAAGACATAAGAGGTGTCAAAATTGGAAAGGAAGAAGTGAAACACTTGCTGTTTGCAGATGACATGATTCTATATATAGAAAACCCTAAAGAATACATCATAAAACTATTAGAAATAATCAACAACTACAGCAAAGTTGCAGGGTACAAAATCAACTTACAACAATCAGTTGCAAATCTATACTGTAATAACAAACTAGTACAAAGAGAACTCAAGAATACAATCCCATTTATAATTGCAACAAAAAGAATACAATATCTAGGAATAAATTTAACCAAGGAGGTGAAAAACCTACACACTGAAAACTATAAGACATTATCGAAAGAAATCAAAGATGACATAGAGAAATAGAAAGATATTCCATGCACATGGATTGGAAAAACAAACATACTTAAAATGTCCATATTACCTAAAGCAATCTACAGATTCAATGCAATGTCAATCAGAATCCCAGCAACACTATTCACAGAAATAGAACAAAGAATCCTAAAATTTGGGGGCCAGCCCCGTGACCAAGTGGCTAAGTTTGCACACTCTGCTTCAGTGGCCTTGGGTTCGTCAGTTCGCATCCTGGGCGTGCACCTACACACTGCTTCATCAAGCATGCAGTGTGTAGGTGGCATCCCACACAGAAGATCTAGAATGACCTACAACTAGGATACACAACTATCTACTGGGGCTTTGGGGCGGGGAAAAAAAAGAGGAAAGATTGGCAATGAATGTTAGTTCAGGGAAAATCTTCCTAACCAAAAAGCATACTGAAAAAGAAAGAATCCTAAAATTTACATGGAACAAAAGACCCCAAATAGTTAAAGCAATCATGAGAAAAAAGAACAAAGCTGGAGGCATCAAAATCCCTGACTTCAAAACATACTGCAAAGCTCTAGTAATCAAAACAGCATGGTACTCACAGAAAAACAGCCAGAATCGAGAGCTTAGAAATAAACCCACACATCTATGAACAGCTAATTTTTGACAAGAGAGCCAAGAACATAAAATGGAGAAAGGAAAGTATCTTCAGTAAATGGTGTTGGGAAGACTGGATAGTCACATGCAAAAGAATGCAAGTAAACCATTATCTTATGCCATACAGAAAAACTAACTCAAAATGGATTAAAGACTTGAAGGTAAGATGTGAAACCATAAAACTCTTAGAATAAAATATACATAGTACACTCAGTACGACATCAGTCGTAGCAGTATCTTTTTGAATACCATTTCTACTCAGGCAAGGGGAACAAAAGAAAAAATAAACAAATGGGACTACATCAGACTAAACAGCCTCTGCAAGGCAAAGGAAACCAGGAACAAAACAAAAAGACAATCCACAAACTGGGAGAAAATATTTGCATACCATATATCTGACAAGGGGTTAATCTCCAAAATATATAAAGAACTCACACAACTCAACAACAAAAAACAAACAACTCAATTAAAATGGGCAAAAGACCTGAACAGACATTTTCCAAAGAAGATATACAGATTGCCAACAGGCACATGAAAAGATGTTCAACATCACTAATTATTAGGGAAATGTAAAGCAAAACTACAATGAGATATCACCTCACACCAGTCAGAATGGCTATAATTAAAAACAAATAAGTGTTGGAGAGGATGTGGAGAAAAGCTAACTCTCACACACTGTTGGTAGGAGTACAAACAGGTGCAGTCACTATGGAAAACAGTATGGAGATTCCTCAGAAAATTAAGAATAGAACTACCATACAGTCTAGCTATTCCACTGCTGGGTATTTCTCCAAAGAACATGAAAACATGAATATGTAAAGATAAATGCACCCCTATGTTCATTGCAGCATTATTCACAATAGCCAAGACTTGGGAGCAACCTAGGTGCCCATCAAGGGACGAAGGGATACAGAAGATGTGGTATATATACACAATGGAATACTATTCAGCCATAAGAATTGATGAAATCCGGCCATTTGTGACAACATGGATGGACCTTGAAGGTATTATGCTAAGCAAAATGAGTCAGAGAGAGAAAGTCAAATACCGTATTATTTCACTCATGAAGAGAAGATAAACACAACAACAAACAAATACACAGAGACAGAGATTGGATTGGTGGTTACCAGAGGGGAAGGGAGGAGGGAGGAGGGCCAAGAGTGATTCACACATGTGTATGTTGATGGATGGTAATTAGTCTTTGCATGACGAACATGATGTAATCTACAAAGAAATCAAAATATAACGATGTACACCTGAAATTTATATAATGTTCTAAACCAATGTTACCTCAATAAAAAAAAAATAGACAAAGGACTTTAAAAACATTTCTCCAAAGAAGATATAGAAATGGCCAATAAGTACATGCAAAGATGCTCAATGTCATTAGTTATCAGGGAAATACAAACCAAAAGCATAATGAGAAACCACATCATACCTACTATGATGGCTATAATAATTTAAAAAAACAGAAAATAAAAAGTGTTGGTGAGGATGTAGAGAAACTGGAACACTCATACATTGCTGGTGGGAATATAAAATGGTGCAGCCACAATGGAAAACAGTTCGGTGGTTCTTCAAAAAGCTAAACATAGAATCACCATACCACCCACCAATTCTGGTCCTATAGATCCAAAAGAACTAAAAACAGGGATTCAAATAGATACTTGTACATCAATGTTCATAGCAGCACTATTCACAGTAGCCAAAAGGAGGAAACAACCCAAGTATCTATCAAATGATGAATAGATAAACAAAATGTGGTATATACATACAATGAAATATTATTCAGTCATAGAAAGGAATACAGTTCTGATACATGCTGCAATGTGGATGAACCTGGAAAATATTAATGCTAAATGAAATAAGCCAGACACAAAAGGATAAATATTCTATGATTCCACTTATATAGAATATCTAGAACAGGCAAATTCATAGACAGAAAGTAGATTAGAAGATTACCAGGGGCTATAGGGAGGGGGCAATAGGGAGTTATTGTGCAATGAGTATAGAGTTTTTATTTGGAGTGATGAAACATTTTGGAAATTGATAATGGTGAGGGTTGTACAACATTTTGAATGTACTTAATGCCAATGAATTGTACACTTAAACATGGTTAAAATGGCAAATTTTATGTTACATATATTTTACCACAGTAAAATTTCTTATAATAGAATATCAACTAATAAAAATGAAAAGAAGGATGGAATTGGAAAAATAGCCAGTTGTCAACCATCATAGTACTAATTTAGGCAAGAAATACCAACAGATGGTGAAAGTGGGATGAGAAATTAGATTTTACATAGTCTCAAAGTATCACCCCATGAAATACCTATGAATAACAAAGGGAAAAATATATATGTTTACAGTGGAGAAACCTAAAAGACACCATTTTAATCAAGAGATCAAAGTTAGCACCACCAATAATAGAAAAATCAATCCTGCATGCCACCCAATAGGAAGTCATGAGGAGAACATAGAATCACTTCTGTGATTTTCTGGCCCCAAATTCATAACCTGGTCTAATCATGAGGAAACTCTAAACAAAACCAAATTAAGGGTGGAGGAACTGGGGAGACGTTGTTTGAGAGTACAAATTTGCAACTAGCAGATAAATAAGTTCTGAGGAGCTAATGCGCAACATAGTGATTATAGTCAACAATACTGTATTATAAATTCCAAAATTGCTTGGAAACTAGATCTTAACTGCTCTCAACACAAAAAAGAAATGATAACTATGTGACATGATAACTATATGACACGATAAAGGTGTTAGCTAACGCTACTGTAATAATCATATTGCAATATATAAATGTATCAAACCAACACGATACATCTCAAAATTACACAATGTTATATGTCAATTACATCTCAATGAAATTTTTTTAATTTAAAAAAACCAAATTATCATGTTCTACAAAATGACTGGCCTATAATCTTGAAAATTGCCAAGGTCATGAAAGTCAAGGCAACAGTAAGGAAGTGTTCCAGATTGAAAGAGACTAGAGAGTAGGTGCAGTCCTAGATCTTGAATGCATTTTGCATAAAGAATAGTATTGAGAAACTTGAACGGGGTCTCTGGGCAAAGGGTATACAGGAGTTCTTTGTCCTACTCTAGTAATATTTCTGTAAATATGAAACTGCTTGAAAAAATTTTAAAGTCTAGAAGAGTCCCTAGCATATAATTGGCAATATAAATATTTACCAAATTAAGCTCTACATGATAACACAGAATTTGGGGGGAAAGCAAGACCAATCTCACAAGTAGGCACAACTTATGGAGCCCTGGGAACATTCTCCCTAACATCCAAATATATCTTTGTTATGAATTCCCTCTGTGATAGTAAAGACTGAAGTAGGCACAGACACTGAAACAGGGGAGAAGGAATGGAAAAGGGAGGGACATAGGGTGGAAAAATAAAGAATTTTTTTTAACTGGAATTTTGATGAGATCCAGTGGGGGAAGAAGGCTTTATTTATCCTATCAAATCTCTCACACCTCCAAATCCCAACAGAGAAAAATACTATGGCAGTGATATGATTAACTGCTGTCAACTTTGTCAGCAGGAAAATAAACTCATTTTTGCTTTCTTTTGTCACATAGCATGAAATATGGAGGAGATATATCAAAATGGTTTAACAATAAAAAGGAAAGCAAAGAAATTTTAAGAGCTCACCCTTTCTAGTAAAAAACAAAGGAAGCAAAGTATTTCAAAGATCAGCTAAGTAAGATTTCAAAGATCAAATACAGTCTCTAAAGGGTTGCATGAAGTAGTAATGATTCTTTTTAGAACTTGATACAGCATATTTTCAAACTCTTGAAGAATAAATGCAGAGACTTTGCTCACCTTTTTGGGGACCCTCATCAACACATCTTTACAGCGCAGTACACATGCAGACGCTCTTTGAAAATCCCCTTGAGCAACTGCCTGGGAAAGTGAAAAAAAAGTCAATAATTGGTTAAAATGAAATAATAAGCTATTTGTCTATAAGTAAATTTTAAAATATTTTTAACTGGTATTAAAAAACCTTAATTTGTTTTCCAAACATTTTAGCAACACTAGTTGGTCTAGCTAAACATAATAGCCAGCTCAAAACACAGAGAAATAAATGGTATCTTGGGTAACACAGAGTTGATACCAAATAACTGGGAGTCACTTTTTCTGGAAATGCTGAAACTGGTGTACAATCATATAATGCCACATCAAATAGACGTTTCCTTAGCTTGAATAGCTCTTGTACTTACCTCCACATTAGAGAAAATTTTTTATGTTAAAGAGCAGTCTTTTGTCCTAAAACAGGCTCACAATAACCTCACAGTCTGAAGTGCTCTGAACATCTGCTGTGAAAGGCAGCTTAGTGCAATCCCATCTTGGAGCCAGAAGAGCCACTCTGATATTTATTATGTATAACCTGGAACCTTACGCTCTCATGGCTTCAGTTTCCTCATGTATAAAATGAGGACACTGTAGTATATTACCTCTAAGATTCCCTTCAGCTCTATCATTCTATGACTGAACACCCTCATATGAACAAAAACATCAATCACACATTACTTGGGCACTTGTAGAAGAGGCTTGTTACAGTCATTTAAGAATTTAGATAACAAGGCATATTATAAAAAAATGGACATATACAAGAAAATAATCTTATAAAGTATTTTGTAGGGGTAACATATCCCCACATTTGCTATTTTCTTTTCTCTTCCTTATGCAGTATCAAATATTCTTGTGCTTTGGATAAGGAAAGAATTGAATAGAAAGAAGAAAAGATGAAGGATATAAGAAGCCGGCTTCTCTTTAGTTTTCTCCTCTATCTATCTGCTGAATATTAAACTAGACATGTTGCTGAACAGATACCTTCTTTTAAGGCTTTAATGCTAGATTTTGTAAAAGGGGAAAATAAATTGTAAACATAAGAGCCTCAATAAGCCAAATCACAAATTATCTGTAGAGATTACAAAATAATATTCCCACCTATACGAATAAGTGTTTCATGAATACTTGCTGATTGATTCATTATTCAAGGTGGAGAAAATCTTATTATAAAAGAGAAATGCTGAGTGACAAACCCCATAGCAGAAAATGATGATTTCTTTCTTATGACATACAAAACAATATAAGCCTTTAATATGCTCAAAGAATCTATAAAGCATCAATCATTAATCAGATTTTATCTTAGAGGAAATCATAACTCCAATAATTCCAGCTAGTTTTGAAAATGTATTCATCTTGTGGGGCCAGGAGTCAATATTTCAAACCCAAAGGACACAGAACTCAAGTAAAAGAAGTCTTAAAGAAGAGGCAGCATGATGTAGTGCTGTAGCAATGTTTGGTGAGCATCAAACTCACCTGTGGAGCTTTTTGAAAAACACATGCCCAGGTCCCACCACTTGGAGATTCTGATTCATTAGGTTTTGGATGATGCCCAGTCTATACTGATGAGGTGAAAAGACTATGGGCTTTGGATTCCCAGCTTTTCCATTTCTTTGCTCAGTGAACTTAGGCAAGTCACAACCTCTTTGAGCCTCAATTTCCTTAATTGTAAAACAGGGATAGTAATGTCTACCACATGGAATTGACCTTATAAGAATCAAATGAGATCACAAGATGTGAAGGCATTTTGCAAACTGTAAGGAAATATACAAAAGTGTGAACAATTTTAGCAGTCAAAACTACCATCAGGAGGAGGTCAGCGACATGGTGGACTGAGCTCACCTGGGACTCTCTCCCCTCCAAACTACAACCGAATTCCAACCAAAAAATCCTAATAACACAGAGATCATCATAGACACACAGCAGCCAAATGACGGAGGACAGAGAGGCTGGAGCCGCCCTCGGAGGAACTAGAACAGGGTAAGAGAGAACTTCACTCCCTCCCCTACAGACTGGGATCACTGCCACCGGGGAGGTGCCATGCATCTGCAAGATCGTCCAGGATGCCCACCACCAGTGCACTGGAAACCCTCTAATGGGGTAAAGCTTTCGCATGGGGAGACCCCATCAAGGCAGGGCCTCAGGAAACCAGAGAGCCAGAGCTGCTCGGAATCCAGGTCTGCACGCAAGAGAAAGTGCCCCTCCTCCTCCCACCCATGCTGTGCAGTCGCCATGGCAGCTGAAGGTGGAGGGCTCAGAATGCACAGTTCTCGACCCCCATCTAGTGGCGACAGGCTGTAACTGCAAGCAAATAATAACATGCGCAAAACTGCTCCTCTACCATCCAGCAATTTGTAAAATCTCCAGACCAAAAAGAAAACAATAAAAACACAGAATTATGTCCTGAGGACTTAGAAATAGGTAAACTAAGTGACAATGAATTCAGAGAAGCTATCATCAAAAAATTCAATGAGGTAAAGGTAAATATAGAGAAACAAGTCAACGAGTTCTGGAGTTACTTCACAAAACAGATTGAAACTATAAAGAAGAATCAATCAGAAATATTAGAGATTAAAAACACAATGGATCAGATAAAACAGAATATGGATTCCCGGAATGCATGTGTAGACACCATAGAGGAGCAAATTAGCATAATCGAAGGTAGACAGGCTGAATGGCTCCAGACAGAGGAAGAAAGAGAAGTAAGAATTTAAAAAACTGAAGAAAATCTCCGAGAAATAGCCGACTCAATGAGAAAATCCAACTTAAGAATTATCGGTATTCCCAAGGGCGAGGAAAAGCAAAATGGAGCAGAAAGTGTGCTCAAAGAAATAATAGAAGAGAACTTCCCACATCTAGGGATTGATGGAGAAATGTGTGTGGAGGAAGCTTTCAGATCTCCTAGATTTCTCAATGGAAAAAGACCTACTACAAGGCATATAGTAGTAAAAATGGCAAAAATGAATGCCAAAGAAAGAATACTCAGGGCAGCAAGGCAGAAGAAAATAACCTACAAAGGAACCCCTATCAGACTTTCAGTGGATTTCTCTACAGAAACCTTGCAAGCTAGGAGAGATTGGAATGACATATTCAAAACTTTAAAGGATAAAAATCTTCAGCCAAGAATACTCTATCCAGCAAAAATATCCTTCAGATATGAGGGAGAAATTAAATCTTTCCCAGACAAACAAAAGCTGAGGGACTTTGCAGCCAAAAGACCTACACTACAAGAAATCCTCAAGAAGGCTCTCATACCCAAAAAAAGAAAAAAAGGGAGAATGGGGTCACAAAACACAGGGTAGGGAGACAAATAGAATCAGAATAGGATAGCAAATATTCAACTACAGCATTACGATAAAGGCAAGGAAATCACCAAAGCAAAGACAATCTTATCACTCTAACCACAAAGTCACAACACAAGTTGGAATAAGAGATGAAAATAATAATTGAGGAAGGGAGGAGGAAAGGGATTGAATCAGTCTAGGCTAAGGAAGTAAGAGACCACCAGAAAATGGACTATGTTATACACAAGATTCTGAATACAAACTTCAGGGTAGCCACCAAACTGAAAAACAGAACAGAGACACGAAACATAAATAAGGAAAAAGCTAAGAAACCCAGCATAAGAAATTGCAGGAGTCAATGAGTAGGCTAATACACACAGGACGAGAAACAAAGGTAACGGAGGAAAACCAGATAACGAGAGACAGAATGACACCATTAAGCCCTCATGCATCAATACTCACCCTCAAGGTAAACGGATTGAACTCTCCAATAAAAAGACACAGAGTGGCAAGATGGATTAAACAGCAAGATCCAACAATTTCTTGCCTCCAGGAAAAACACCTCAGCCCCAAGGACAAACACAGGCTCATAGTGAAGGGGTGGAAGACAATACTCCAAGCTAATAGCAAACAAAAGAAAGCAGTTGTCGCAATACTTATACCAGACAAAGCAGATTTCCAGATAAGGCAGGTAAAGAGAGACATAGAGGGCCAATATATAATGATCAAAGGGACACTTCATCAAGAAGAAATAATGCTTATAAATATCTATGCACCCAACAGAGGAGCACCAAAGTTCATAAAGCAACTATAAACAAACCTAAAAGAAGATATCAAAAATAACACAACAATAGTAGTAGTGGACCTCAGCACGCCACTCACATCAACGGACAGATCATCCAGACAGAAAATCAACAAGGAAACACTGTAGCTAAACGAAAAGCTAAAACAATTGGACTTAATAGACATATATAGAACACTTCATCCAAAAACAGCAGAATACAGATTCTTCTCAAGTGCACATGGAACATTCTCAAGGATAGACCATATGTTGGGAAACAAGGCAAGCCTCTACAAATTTTTAAAAATTGAAATAATAACAAACATCATCTCTGATCACAATGCTATAAAGCCAGAAATTAATTACAAGAAAAAAGCTGAGAAAGGCACAAGGATGTGGGGACTAAACAATATGCTATTGAACAAGCAATGGATCATTGAAGAAATTAAAGAAGAAATACAAAAATACCTGGAGACAAATGAAAATGATAACATGCCATACCAATTCATATGGATACAGCAAAAGCTGTATTAAGAGGGAAATTCATTGCAATACAGACACATCTTACAAGCAAGAAAAATCCCAAATAAGCAATCTCAAACTACACCTGAGTTAGAGAAAGAAGAACAAACAAAGCCCAAAGTCAGCAGAAGGAGAGAAATAATAAAAATCAGAGCAGAAATAAATGCTTTTGAAACAAAAAAGGCAGTAGAAAGGGTCAACGAAACAAAGAGGTGGTTCTTTGAGAAGATAAATAAAATTGACAAACCCCTAGCCAGTCTTACAAAGAAGAAAAGAGAGAAAGCTCAAATAAACCAAATCAGAAATGAAAAAGGAGAAATAACAACAGACTCTGCAGAAATACAATGGATTATAAGAGAATACTACGAAAAACCATATGCCAACAAAATGGATAACCTAGAGGAAATGGATAAACTCTTGGACTCCTACAATCTCCCAAAACTTAGTCAAGAAGAAGCAGACAATTT